CTCCCAGTTCTCCCCTATGGTCTGATCTGGGGAGTGGGTGGGCGGATCTTCCCGTGCGGGTGCCTTTGCGGAGTCTGCGCTCGGGATCCCTCTCAGGCCCTTGGGCTCTGGTCTTCCCTATGTCTGCCTCATGTCTTGGGGGTTGGGTCTCGGTCCTCCACAGTCACTATTAAATATTCCATTGGAGAAATCTTGTAAATACACACATGTTCACAACTGCTCACAAACAGGTGTTCTGATCCGGGGGTTCTGACAGGTCACTGAGTGTGAATACATATTGGAAGTCTTGGAAATCTATTTGTTGACATTAGTTTTGTAAACAAAGCCCCTCAACCACTGACAGCTTGTAAAATGTGTCAACAAATAATTTTCATCACCCGTTGAGGAAAAAACATACTCATRTTCAGATTATAATAACATTTGTAAGAAAAGCAGATCATAAATGTATTGTATTTGACATCAGCAGGGTTTCTCAGAATTTGTTGAAAGAACAAAACAGGAGCGATAATTAGCAAGGTCACCGTAAGAGCAGCTTTGTGCAATCTGGTCACAGCGGTGTATGAGGAAAATGGCAGCTGCTGATGACGATATGTCAGCATCCCTAAATTACAAACGCAGAAGGCAGCGTATTTAAATTCCCTACATAACTCAGCACCTGCTACAAATWACCTAATTTTTGTCTGCTGAGGAAATAAACCAAACAATGTTTTCTTCCACCTGTTCTGCAGGTATTCAGTCCATCCGTTCTCAGTCCTCTCTCGATTGGGAATCAAACACCCAAAGCCGGTTCCATTCTTTGGTAACCTATTCATGTTTCGTGAGGTGAGATCCAGTTAATAAATAAATGAAAATATAAGATTTTTTATTTTATTTTACATTTTCTTAACTGGTTCTTTGTGYTATTGTAAGTTATATGCAACAATGTTTAAGTTTGTTTTATTTTCCTCAGGGTTTTTTTGGGCCTCTTGTTGACCTTATAAACACACATGGCAGAATATGTGGGTGAGTAAAACTACATTTACACAAGCATCTGTTGGAATTAGGAAAACTTTCAYGGTAATTTCAGATTTTCCTCCCTGTGAYGYGTTTTAAATGGTTCATTTTAGGTATTATTTAGGTCGGAGACCAATAGTGGTGATTGCAGATCCTGACGTGCTCAGACAGATAATGGTCAAGGAYTTCAGTAACTTTGTTAACAGAATGGTGAGACCATCAACTAGTGTGTGCTGACGTTCACGAAACACTAATTTCATGTTCCCAACACAAGCTTTGGTGATTGTTCTTATCGTCTCTATAATATGTGCAGAGTTTTCGTTTTGCCACCAAACCCTTGACGGACTGTCTGCTGATGCTGAGAGACGAGAAGTGGAAGAGGGTTCGAAGCATCCTAACCCCGTCCTTCAGTGCTTCCAAGATGAAAGATGTGAGCAGATCGCTGCTTGTGCAGCTTTTCTAGATTCACTGCAGCATAACTCTGTGTAGACAGACATGAAACTAAAGAGGACATTTCTTAAATTAGACCAATTATGGGTCCTAGAAATTTTTATGGTGTGTCTGTGGACTATCCAGACCATGTTCATTCAATTT